ATCTATTCAAAAGCTCCTAATATCATATATGGAAATAATATGGACTCGACATGTAAAACCATGTCATTCTGTGAGTTTATGTCTATGGCTTTGGGTTGTTCATGGCTAATAGGGACCACCTAGATGAGCTAATACTGACGATTTTAGCTTGAAAAGTGGTCAGTGACCCTTGTTATAGCGTGATAGAATAAAAGAATTCAGCTAGCTAAGCAAAAGATGACATGGAAGCATAACAGGTCGAAGACTCGATATCAGGCATAAATACCCAGAGTACTCAAACAGTAGTTCCTCATACATTTCAAAGGATATCTTAGCTACTGCTTACAAGTTAGTGTTCTTGGATGAGGATAGAAACCCTTCAAAACCTTTTAATACATTGCCACATTGAGTTGGATCCTGCAGATAACTCGTCTCCAAATCATAAACCTGCATTGAAAGAAAACATTAGTTCCAGTGTATCACATATGCAGCTCAGCAGCAACTACAAAAAAAGAGACAAATGAATTTTCCATCCATAGCTTATGCTGCAGCATACAAGAACAAGTAAAATCATTTATGTAAAAAAAAAGAAGCAGCAAATCCCATGAAATAAAAGGTCTTCCATTTCAGCTATATCCCCGAAAATGAGCCAAGAAATCAATAAACCCAGAAACGAAAAGGCTCATGCCCCACCCCCAAATTATAGAAGAAGAAAGAAAAAAGTGAAATATTAAAAGAATATATGTAAAGAATGAACCTGTTTTTCAATGCCCCGGAGTTCGTCTTGAAGCTTGGCTCTCCTACTCAGAAGAGAAGCAAGCATTACTGATGGGTTGTTAGCCGTTTTCTGCCCTGCCAAATATTTTACAGAAAAAGAAAAAGAAAATCAAAATTTCACAGACAATAAAAATCAAGCTCGAATATTTTTCTTTTTTTCAATCTAAAAAAAATTATTCCAACGCATACCTTCTGAATCCATTCTCAGCAGGGAATCGTTTGACAGCTGCCTAGAAACCAAAGTTTGCAAAACCCAAAACCCCCAAATTCTGGGAAAAATACCGTAACCTAGGGCACACAATTTTCAATCGAGAACACACAGACCCAATTCACCCATGATTAATTGGATCCGTCGGGTCGGGTGTGGATGCTCCAGCTTGTTACTTGGTAACCACACGTGAGAACGTAAACAAATGAAAGTTGTGAGATTTCGCAAAAATTGAGGGATCGAAAGCGCAAATGAAACATGAAAAGTCGATAATACCCTCGATGTTTTTGTGATGTAGTAGGGTTAAAATTGGCATTTTATATTTCTACCTATTCACTAATTGACCCAAAGGTCTGTTGTCTTATTTAGGGGTGGTTGCGGTTCGGTAACCGCGAATTTTTACTCAAACCGCAAACCGACCGACTATTTGCGGTTTGGTGATTTTTGAAACCGCAAACCGACCGCGTTTTGCGGTTTACCGCATTGCGGTAAACCGCAAAATGCGGTCGGTTACCGCGAATTAGCGGTTTAAAACCGCGAGTTCTCAAGCATTCACAAAATATATAAATTCACAACCTAAATAAATAAATACACAACCTCAATTTCTTAAACATATATAAATTCACAATCTCTTCAACTTCTCAAGCATTCACAACCTAAGAAAATTAAAGTTACAATTCCAAGCATTCCAATTCCAAATCCTTTAAAGTTATAAACAAAAAGGAAAATGCAAAGTAAAATGAATTAAAGTTACAACAAAAAAGAAAAATTCAATTCAAAGTTAATTAAAGTTACAAACTAAAAGGAAAATGCAATGCACCAATGTTACAAACTAAAGTTACAAACTCAAGTGTTGGTGGTGAGTGGATTTGAAGAACCCCGTTGTGTTGTTTGAGCACCAATGTTATTTACAAATAAAACAACATAGTGTAGTACATTTTATTATAAGAAGAAGCATAAATAACATTAGCATAAATAAACTAATTACTTACAAGTTGTCATATGTTCCATTTCCTTGTAAAATTCAACTTCATCATCCGTGTGGCTATACTTTGCGGTTTGCGGTAACCGCAAGTTTTGAAAATCAAATACCGCAACCGCAACCGCAAATGCGGTTCGGTTCTTAATACCGCAAATGCGGTTCGGTTTACCGCGATTGCGGTTTTATTGCGGTAAATTATCGGTTGATTTTTGCGGTTTTTCGGTTTTTCGGTTTAAAATGCCACCCCTAGTCTTATTACTCCAAAGTATTGACAAATTACTAATTAGCCCATACATTTATAGGGGTTTTTGTTGTCACCTCAATTGGATGGCAGTCGCAAGGAACATGTAGCTCCAAATAGTTAAAAGTATTTACCTCTGCATCCAAAATCATATGTTTAAATCCCCGCTCGCTGACTATTGCTTACGTCAAATTCTATTTTGTTATTTTATTTCTAGATAGCCGGCAAGACTAATTCATATACTCGTATAGCCCACATGAAAGGAACAAATATTATATTAACTCCACTTGATATAATAATTTTAACAAAAAAATATTGGAGCATATACATGGATGGCTGACTTTACCCGGTGTAAGTTTGGAAGCTACCCCAATCACTCTGAGATTATACACCAGATTATCTGGGCATGTTCATTGGCATTGGAGCAAAGCAATGGAGAAGCTCGTTTCAAGCTGGTACAACGTTCAACCCTTGCCGGACAATTACATAGTCCCACCAGATGCAAGACCCGGGAAGCTAGATGTTCCTTTATGCAACAACATTCCAGTGATTGATATGGGCGGAGCTGGAGCAGAAGCTCATGACAGAACCTCTATAATTCAGCAAATGCTCCACGCGAGCAAAGAATTCGGATTTTTTCAGGTTGCTTAGGCTTCAATTTCTTCCTAATTTGGTCAACTCACCTCTGCTTTTTCATATGTTATTTATGAATCTCAGCTTCCACTTATAACTATGTTACATGTCATCTAAATGTTATAATTGAAGCAGGTAATCAACCATGGCATACCAGAAAATTTGCTGAAAGACACAATGGGGGTGTTCAAGGACTTTTTTGAGTTACCTTTAGAGGATAAGGCAAGCCTCTACTCTGAGGACCCCAACAAAAACTGCAGGCTCTTCACCAGCAGTGGCAATTATGACTGGGAAGAAGCTCATTATTGGCGTGATATCTTAAGACACTCTTGTCATCCTTTGGAGCAATGCATCCAATTTTGGCCTTAAAAGCCAATTACATATAGGTAAGTGCCTGAAATGATTTCATGGTACCAAATAGGCAGACATTGAATACGATATTTAACATATGAATAATACTACGTTTACTGACCTCTTTTTTGCTAAAGAGGTAGTCAGTAACATCGTCAATAAATGTGGTACAAATAATATTATTGTTTGAAATATCTATGGATACTAATTACCAATGATGTTTTTTAGAGAGCATGTTGGTGCATGTTCCACCCAAGTGAGGGAAGTGGCTTTGAACATTTTGCAGCTAATCAGTGAAGGACTTGGGCTAGAACCTGGGTATTTCAGGGATGAACTTAGCCAAGTGTCTTTACTCTCAGTCAATTATTACCCGCCTTGTCCAGACCCAAGTTTGACATTAGGGGTACCTAAACACTGTGACCCAAACCTCATAACCATTTTACTTCACGGGGATGTAAATGGGCTTCAAGTTTTCAAGGATGGGGAATGGATTGGTGTGGAGCCTCTTCCCAATGCACTTGTGGTCAACATAGGCTATCAGTTACAGGTACATATCACCATTCTTTATACTGAAGATGATTATATATAGTATGTTCATGACCATGACAAATTTTTGTAAACATGGATGCAGATTATCAGTAATGGGAAGCTGAAATGTGCCGAACATCGGGCCGTTACGAATTCCAGAAATGCTAGGACATCTACTGCATTTTTCTTTACGCCTTCCCCTGATTGCCTCATAAAACCTGCAGGAGCTCTTATTAATGCAAGCAATCCCCAACTCTATAAAGCCTTTCAGTACAAAGAGTTCTTTACCAACTATGCTATGAAGCAGGGTAAAACCGACAGCGTACTTGAACCATTCAAGCTCCAAGCTTAGTTGATGATCATGCTGTGAAAAAGGAGAAATGCTCTTGAACTTCTGGTTGAGCATTGTTCATTTGAATAACTGTCTTTTTGCTCTATGTAGAGGCAAAAGCAGAGCAACTGGTCCATATTTATGTGGGTGTACATTGACATTGTAAAATTGTTCACTGGACCATTCTAGTTTAAAGAGAAGTCTATTTGTGACACAATAATGAGTTTATTGAATTCAAGAAGTTGTGCTCTCAAATAGGAAAACTTGCAAGATGTTGTAAAATGGAGTGATTTCAAGCATACAAATGAAATGTGAATTGCCCAAATCACCCTTCTGTTTTTGTAATCTAGTAGGGTAAGAACCACATTGCATATTTAGCCTTGTTCATGAACTGACCCCAAGCTCTGTTGTCTCTAGGGCTGAGAATTTAAACCAAAGAATCGGCCAACTGACCAAATCAGACTAAACTAAACCGATAAATCTAGTTATTTGTTTTTATTTTCTGAATTTTAATTGATAACCGAACTGAACCGTCTTAGTGCAGTCTAATTTACAATTTAAATTATTTCAAACCACGATTCGATCAAACCAAACCAACATCCATGTGGCCATTTGGCGGTCGGTGGTCGGTTTTGGGCATTCGGTTCAGTTACTAAACCAAACCCAGGCCTAGTTGTCCTAGTCGGAATTATTGGCAAATTGCGAATGGATCCTTTTGCAGTTGAGAACATATTAGTTACTCTGAGTTTCTGATTATCCTCTTCTGTCTTGTTCATCTTCTTCAGCTCCTCTCCCGCTAAAATACATCAACCAAAGCAAGTGAAAACCACCTTGTTCAATTGTTCAAAAGATCACAACTTTCATAATCCTAAATTTGCCTTGCTAGCAACCAAGGCTGTATAGGTACGTGGCGAGTGGACAACGTTGCGGTGGTTATGGAGGTGGGTCCCTCTGACTCTGAAATTCTGTCCCCGAGTCAACGTCAGGGCCATTGCAATTTGCAAGCGTTAGTTTTACGCACCATCATCATGTGTACGTATCTTTCATCAAAGCAAAATGGTATATATAATAAGAAAGCGTAGGCACACTGTGCTTCTCACCTCTCCTTTTACAATCCGAATCTTCCCCCTTTTTTTTCTTCTCTCATTTGCCTCTGCTTTCTTTTCCTGGCCTCAGAAAAAGGAAGAGAATATTATTAACTTTGATTTTCTTTTTTGTTAATCGGTTTCATTCCCAATTGCCCATTTGTTTATCTTTCTTCTGCATGCCTCATTTGCCCATATCTCTTCGCCTTCTCTAAATCTGTTCTCCTTATTGTTGATCGACTCTCTCTTGTTCTCACGACTTTCGTGGCTGCAATGTCTTTCAGAGGGCTTAGCCGGGTATCTCTCTCTTTCACTCTGTTCATTTTTGAAGCTTTGTTCGGTTTGTTTTGGTTCAGTTTTGACTGCATGTTGCGTTGGAACTTGCCTAGTAGGGTAACTAGTCATTTGATCATGAACTGCAATGGAAGGGATTTTAATTTTATTTAAGAGTTCTTGATTTGTATCAAACCTCATGTTTCTCTACAGATATGTTAGTTTGATGTAGTTTTGGATGAACCCAGTTCAGTGTTTTTAGTATTCATTGGTTGCTGAGGAATTAAAGCTTAAAGCTTTTTCTTTTTCTTTTATTGAGCTGAAATTAAAGCTTGAAGCTTTAGGATGTATTGTTTCCTGGGTACCTTGAAAAAAAAAACTGGGAATTCACCTTCCTTGATCCTTGTATTGGACTTCCAAATCGTTTTACGAGGCTTTTGTTTTCTTGGTCCTAATTACTGAAAGTCATCAGATTTCTCGATCGGCCTAACAGAGCATAGGTTTCTAGTCAAAATAGTTATTCTTATTAGTATTGAGTCAAAACCTGTAGATGGTTGTGTGTCTGTTATATAACGCAATTGGATTATCTTTCCAGCCAAATGCTTCGTGTGCCATGGGAGTTTCTGATGACAGCAAGAAAACTTTCATGGAACTGCAGAGGAAGAAGGTTCACCGCTATGTGATATTCAAGGTTGATGAGAAGAAGAGGGAGGTTGTGGTTGAAAAGATTGGCGGCCCAGCTGAGAGCTATGATGATTTTGTGGCAGCTTTGCCTGAAAATGATTGCAGATATGCAGTTTATGACTTTGATTTTGTGACTTCTGAGAACTGTCAAAAGAGCAAGATCTTCTTCATTGCATGGTTAGTTGTTGCCTATAATCCCTTCACCACTGATTTTTCCCTATTATGTATGGACTGACTATTATTTCTGTTCAACTATAATTCCAATGCCTTTTTCTTATGTGGTAAGACAAATTCTGATCCCAATTCCCAAGTCCCAATGTTTGAAGCCCCTGCAGATAGTTGCAAAGGATAAGTTTCACACAAATTTGTTTTTAGAAGTCATCCATAAATTTGCATTTGCATCCTCGACTTCATATCCAATTGTACATGTACGAAGCTTTTGTACAAAATCAAAGGTGCAGAATACTTTGGTGCAAGTTTTGGTCCTGAAATCCATAACTTTTCATTGAATCTTGGATTCTCTGCAGGTCATAAACACCACAACATCTATTATCTATACTTGCAATTCAAAAACTTGTTCTATCATGTGCCCCATTCATGATTATTTGCATGGTGATCAGGTCCCCTTCAACCTCTCGAATCCGTGCGAAGATGCTGTATGCAACATCTAAAGACAGGTTTCGGCGTGAGCTGGATGGTATTCACTATGAGATTCAGGCTACTGACCCATCAGAGATGGATCTGGAGGTGCTCAGAGACCGTGCACACTGAACAGTCTCTGCAGCACTAAAACATGTCTTCCTTGGTCGGTCAAAAATCTCTGGGGTTCTGTAAGTTTGTTATGCTGGCTTCATTATGTGCAGAACCCATTACTGGCACAAGACTCACTGTATTACTGTTCCTTGAATAAATTGGCGTATCAGCTGGCTTGTATGAAAAGTATGGTCTGATGTTATCTGCTTGCTGCAGAATTCAGTTACCTTGAGGTAAGCTTACTTCCTAGAGGAAAATGAACTTGTCATTAGGTGATGTAAACCCTGAAAATTGTTGTTATATAAATTTGGTTGGCTTCTTATGGTTTTTTATCTTTGGGGAAAAAGAAAAGGGCACCCATTGTCTTTTTTTCTCTGTCATATTATTTGCCTATGAATAATTGCAAGCTTTGTTAAGAGGAGAGGACCAAAAATAGTGATGCACAATTATTAGGAGAGTGTCAATCAAATAAAGGGATGCTGCCAACATGAGCAGTGAAAGAAAGAAAATTTGCACCAGCTTAAAGGGCAATATAGACGAAAAGATAACAAAAGATCATCCGTACTTCACTATAATAAAATGATTAAATAACAGGAAAAAAAGAAGAAGCAGAAGATCTGATTTCTTCTTTACTATAATACAATGACATATGATAAAAGACTATAACAGAAAAAATTGACAAGGATATCCTAAAAAATTGCTGTATTTTAGAAGAACAGAAACTCCCTTCTTGTCTGCGGCTGCTTTAATCTTCTACTTCCTTAATTGCGCTCTTCATTGGTCTCACCTGAAATTTCCTCCAAAGATTTTCCTTTTGATTCAGGCACAAAGAATGTAAATAACAAACCCAAGAAGTTGACCACACCCAACACAATGAGTGAATTCTTGACCCCTATACCAGCAGGGAACCCTGCTTCTGCCTTAGTCTTGTCCTGGGGTTGAGCCAAGTACAAAAAGCCAAACGCACCCACCATTGCCCCTAACTTTCCCGCTGCTGCAGATATGCCGTGGCATGTAGAACGTAGTCTAGCCGGGAAAATCTCAGCCGGCACCACGAATGTGGTGGCATTTGGTCCAAAATTTGCAAAGAAGAAAGTCAGTGAGTAGAGTACCACAAACCCAATCAAGTGATCCTTGTGTGTCCAATAATTGTAAGGAAAGGCCAAGGCAAACATGAACACTGTCATGAAGAAAAATCCCATCAACTGGATTGCAAATCTTCCAATTTTATCAATCAAGGCCACAGTGAACCAGTAACCAGGCACAGTACTGCATAGAGCAATAAGAGTCTGTGCCCTTGCTATTCTATAAACCTCTGAAACGGCATTCATAGTCTTTGCACTAGGAATCCACCCAATGGCACTAAAGATGTCCTTCTGAAACAGATTTTGACTATAAAATGCAATGTCAAGCAAGAACCATGTACTTGTGGTTCCAAGCAAGTGAAGTCCATGGCGGCGCATAAAGTTCTTAGAGAACAAACCAAAGGATTTAACAGGTTCCTGGGGCTTGACCGGTTCAGCTTCAATGTCAACCTGCAAAACTTTTGACATATCTGAAGTAGCCTGTTTGACGTTATTGGCAACAAGCGCTGTGTAACGAGCAGTTTCAGGCATCTTCGACCGCGAGTAATAGGTTAGAGCTGCTGGAAGTGCTCCAACCATTAAAATGATTCTCCAAAGGTAGTCTGCTTGTGGGACAGTTGAACCAGTTGGATCAACTTCATAAGCTGGAGCCTTGAACTTGGCCTCAAATATGGCAGACATAAGCATTGCAAACAACCCTCCAGCTAAAATTCCAAAGCCCTGCATGGCAAAGACTGCAGCAACGAAGGCACCACGAGTCTTCTTATTAGCATATTCAGACATGATGGTGGCAGAGAGTGGGTAGTCACCACCAATGCCAAACCCAAGCCAGAAACGGAAGAAGCAAAGTGTCGAAACTACAGATTTTGGGGTGTGCCCAAAGGAGAGCCCGGAAGCAACGGAGCAGATGACCATGAGCATAAGAGTCATGCCATAGACTTTCTTTCTTCCCAATTTGTCACCAAGCCAACCAAAGAAGACTTGTCCTGCCAATGTGCCACAAAGTGCCACACCATTGACAGCAGCTGATACATTTGGAGGCAATGAGCCAGGCTTTGCTGAGCCTTCGACGTGATAGTATATGCGGCCAAGCAATTTGGTGACAAGGGATATGCAGAAGAGGTCATATGCATCAGTGAAGAAGCCCATTCCAGCAATCACAATTGCGGTGAAATGATACCATTGTGTTTTTGCACTGTCCAGTGCATTAAGCACCTGCAATTGTTCCTTGGCCATGGCTAGCTTGCCTTGTTAGATCTCTCCCTCGCAAACTCCTTTTTCCTCTGCTTCATCAATATGCAAGAAAACGACTCGTAAGATTACATGTACAAACTAATGTATGAATAAAGAATCATTAAAAATATGAGATTGACATTGTAAACCAAAAGTTACACACAAAAATGTGAATTGAAGAATTTAAAATATTTCAGAAAACTCACAGAAAGATGGTATAATGCACCATCTCAACCGGGAATTGAAAAATCTCAGGCTTATACATATAACAAAACTGACCATGATCATTAAGGATTTCAATTTTTCAGAAGAAACACACACACACACACACAAACACGTTAGTTCTTCCAGAAGAGGATCTGAAATTTGAAAAATTGCATTCCATATACAGAGTGGGAGGAGTCATTAACAATATAATGCCTACAATAAATGAAAATTCAACAATGGCAAATAGGAATATAATCAGAGAGATGGAGCTCACAAAGAAGAAACAAGAACAACATGCAAAGAGCAGTAGTTTTTTTTTTCTTACCTGGATTTGCTCTCTCAACCTTATGGAGAGAGACAGACAGTGAGAGTGAGACACAGAGAGACACAGAGAGAGAGAGAGAGAGAGAGAGAGAGAGAGAGAGCAGTAGTTTATGGTTAAAGGAATGCATAGGCTAGAGAATTTATATGCAAGATTGTTTCCCTGATCAACCGGAATATTATACTGGCATATTCCCTCCATTTTTGCTTGCTGTTGCTTCTCTTCAACAAACTGAGATCTTCCACTGGTATATTCCATGCCAGATTTTCTAGTAGTAGCTAGCAGTAACCAAAACCAAAACAGTTTCCGTAGCCACAACGCGTATTTCAATGTATGTGAACGTTGGCTAGTAATGGCTGGTTGTCCATGTTTCTATATATGGTTTCAAATTTGATGCCAACATTTAAGTTGATATCTGAGGCCATGGAATATGGCCTAATTGCTGCCAGGCTAGCTAGCTGGACGGTGGTACTCTTTAAATAAAAGATTTCATATTTCATTTGGAGGATTTTTTAGGGTAATACTAATTATTCTTTGTGCTCATCTCATCGCCATATGATGACAGACCAAAAAAGAAAAAAATATAGAAAAAAATAGAAATGCATACAATTTATGTGCGAAATAATTTTATTTTTTTAATGTATACAAATGGCATTTTTCTTTAATTTTAGATAAGGAAGCAATTGATTTTTTTATTTATTACATGTTTATTTTTGTTGTTCTTAAATTGTTTCATGCATTTGCATTTGTCTTAGATTCTATGAAACATGAGGAAACTAATATCAACGACCCCTGACCTGAGGAGGAGTGTATTCCTTCCTACATGGATATTTACGAGTGCACCCTCCTCTGCTGAGCCTTCCTTGCATTGCGAGGATGGGTTAAAGCAGATTTCGAAGACTCAAGTCAATCCATTGAATACTGATTCTTCAACGATTCTAGTCCCAGTTTGAAGTGGGGCTAAAGTTTGACACATTTATTAGATACATCTATCTCTTTATCAACATTGGGCTAAGCAATAGAATTTGAAAGCAACAACAATGGCCATTGACTTGACTGTAGGCTTGAAGGCTACATGAGAATACAAATGAAGAAGCAAGAAATTTTCTTTCTTCATATTTGGCATCCTCTGCAAATTCCTTCCTTGATATAATATATAGACTCAAGTCACAACAACATAGAGGGGAAGAGGGAAATAGAAAACTAGAGCTTCCCTCTCACCAAAATTAAACAAAAGCTTACAACATTATTTCTACAAGCTGCTTATAATAACCTAGGCAAGTGGAACTGTCCTCTTGTTTAAGCCTGATGGCTCCAACTCCACTGCCCCAGTTTCATTTTCATTTTCATTCTCCCCGGACATCTCCTCCAACGACTTCCCGTTCGATTCGGGCACTAAGAAGGTGAACAATATCCCTAAGAAGTTAATTACACCCAACACAATGAGTGAATTTTTCACCCCAATTCCTGCAGGGTACCCTGCATCTACCTTGGACTTATCTTTGTTCTGAGCCAAATACAAGAACCCAAATGCACCAATTATGGCACCAAGCTTCCCAGACGCCGCTGAGATCCCATGACAAGTAGATCGGAACCTAGCTGGGAAAATCTCAGCTGGCACAACAAATGTAGTGGCATTAGGACCGAAGTTTGCGAAGAAGAAGGTCAAAGAGTAGATCACCACAAACCCAATTCGGTTGTCCTTATGAGTCCAATGGTCATATGGAATGGCCAGTGCAAACATAAACACTGTCATGAAGAAGAATCCCATCAATTGGATAGCAAATCTTCCAATCCTGTCAATGAATAAAACTGTAAACCAGTAGCCTGGGACAGTGCTGCATAGAGCAATAAGAGTCTGTGCCCTTGCAATTCTGAAAACCTCTTCAATAGCATTCATAGTCTTAGCAGGAGGGATCCATCCAATCGCGCTAAAAATATCCTTTTGGAACAGATTTTGGCTGTAGAATGCAATGTCAAGCAAGAACCAAGTGCTTGTTGTTCCAAGCAAATGAAGCCCGTGGCGACGCATAAACTCCTTAGAGAACAACTTAAATGCACTAACCGACTCCTCCATCTTCTGTGGTTCTGCTTCAATGTCAACCTGCAGAACCCTTGACATGTCTGTTGCAGCCTGTTTCGCATTCTTGGCAACCAGAGCGGTGTAACGGGCGGTTTCAGGCATCTTCATCCGCCAGTAGTAAGTCATTGCAGCTGGGATTGCTCCAACCATGACAATAATTCTCCAAAGATAGTCTGCTTGTGGAACAGTGGATTTAACTGGATCGACCTCATATGCTGGAGCATCAAACTTGGCCTCAAACGCAGCTGAAGAAATAATAGCAAATATACCACCAGCTAAAATTCCAAAGCCCTGCATGGCAAAGACTGCAGCAATGAAGGCACCTCGAGTTTTCTTGTTAGCATATTCAGACATGATAGTGGCAGAAAGAGGGTAGTCACCGCCGATGCCAAACCCGAGCCAGAATCGAAAGAAGC